CATTAAATCATACGTCCGACACTAATACACAAAGTCTTCCTCCATCTCACAAAACACACACTATGATGCCAACTGCAGGAGGAATGCCAAATCCGTGAATGTGTAAGCATCTCAGTGCTGGCAGGGGTCTCCACACGGCTGCTCCAGCACCCAGGGTGCATCAGGGTAGGTCCATGTGGCTTCTCCTCAGGGATGCCTTGCAGGAAGAGAGCTTTGCCAGTTGAAGCAGGGAACTGGCTAAGGCAGCTGCACCCTGGTCCGACCATCACAAAGCAAGAGACCCGAGAACTCGAAAGGCAAGGCTTCTCCTCAGGGATGCCTTGCAGGAAGAGAGCTTTGCCAGTTGAAGCAGGGAACTGGCTAAGGCAGCTGCATCCTGGTCCTACCATCATAAAGCAAGAGACCCGAGAACTCGAAAGGCAAGGCTCACCGAGCCATTTATCTCTCGGCCCTTTAATTAACCCCACATGTGTTTATCAACCCAGTTGGCACAATAAACTTTAACATCTCAGTACTCTTAGCCATTAGTAGATGTGACTTTCAAATGATTTTATGTTTAAAAACTATAATACTAGTCCTAATATAAATTAAGGGGGGAAATTAAAATATTTTGAAGGTTGTTTATCATCATTTGACCGTAAAAATAAACAAAAGTGTGTAATACTTGAATTCCCAAAGCTTTTCAATTATTGATTACTAATAGTGCATCTCTATGAGGTAGTTTGAAAAGAAATCTTGAATATGAATGAAAGCTTTATTGGCTTTAATTTTGAAGTGAAGAAGCTGAAATCTTAGAATCAAAAATCACTGATGAGTTGAGATGTTTAGAAAGTCTAAATACCATATATACTCGAGTAGAGACCAAGCTTTTCAGCAGATTTTAATGTAGTTTTGTGGTAAAATCAGATGCCTTGCCTGATATTCGGGTCAGCTTATACTCGAGTATATGCGGTAAAATAGAATGAGAAGTTATTCAAGTCTGGATAGGTTCTTAGCATGTCTGTCATATCCTTGCTGAAATATTTGCACTTGATTCACTCAGTATAGTACCTAGACTTTATTACTTATTTATGTCACTCAAAATGCTGCAATTATGACTTCTAATTTCCTGAGATCTATCTATATCTGTGCAATGAAGCTAATAAGATTGAATGCAGTTAACTCGGAAAACTTTTCGGACTCGGAAAAATGTCAACAGAACCAATTATTCTAGGTTACTTTGCTCAGACACTGGGCTGAGGAAATACCATCTATAAAATAAAGTAGTCATTTATATAAAAGTGCATTTTTACTTTTATTTGGTAAGATATGCTTATGAGAACACTTTTGAGAAAACTTTGCGCTGAAAATCGAACTTAAAAGCAAATAAGCATTCCTTAAATATGAAGTGTTTTCTTCTGCCTTTAGACCTGATCAAAATAAATCTTGAAAAAATAGGCACAAGACATTTTTATTAACATGTATTATTTTTATAATAATTTCAAACTTTCTGTCTCTTTTGTCCATTTGTTTGTTTTCTCCCTCTGTTATTCATTTTTTTCTCTTCCCATTTTGATTGTTTTAAACTGGGACATGTAGGTGGCAGTGGGGGAAATAGTGAAAGTGACCAATGGGGAACATCTCCCAGCAGATCTCATCAGTCTGTCGTCAAGGTTAGCACCACTGAGTTTCACAGGACATGTGTACGTGGGTCCTCACCCTAAACCAGAGAATAGTTGCACCCAAATATGGTTTATTTCTCTCTTCCGTTAAGACCAATCGTATTTGATATTTCCTGATAATGAGCATTTCACAGATGTTCTAAACCGTCTTACCAGAATCCAATGTTGGATGGTGCTTGTCCCGCAGTTGGACAGATTCGGCTCTTATTGTTATCAATAGGAGTCCATGAGGCATGCCCGTAAAGGTGGATTTCAATTCCGCACACATCATTGATGAAAATTGATATTTCACAGCATGCCTCAGTTGCAAGGCTTAACTTCTTACCTCCCCAGGGTATGGTATTGAGCACTGTTAAGCTTTCGTGAAGCAAAGAATCACTGAGAAAATTTCATGGTCTAAAATCTACCCGTTTTATTCTCAGAGTTAAAAAATATCTTTAAGCTCTGCAGACCTCCTCTGGTGTTTATGACTCTAATTTGGACGTGTATAGGGTTTATGGAGGACCCCTGCACAAAGTTGGATGTTGTACATTTTGTACCGCATGCGGTGGGATCAACTTTTATCCCACTTGTAACAAGTGACAAAGTGCACGTTACTGTGAAAAATTTCCGCTGTTGACCAGTGTCTGTATTGTGATACGCATCTTGTTTCATTTTTCCACCTACTAATCAAAAAGCCTGCTCAGCCTCTCTGACTGTAGTATGTGTCTTGGATGTCATCATGATTTGCTGAACTGCGTATTCTCTAGCATGATTCCTTATCTGCGACTTCTTGCTGCGTTTTCACAGCACTACTAAGAACTGCTTTGGTGTTACTGAAAATGTAATTACTGGGAATGTAGATTTACATGCATTTTTGTTTGTCCCACTTCAAATAGAAGTCAGCCATTTAACTTTCTAAAAGAGTTACTTTACAAAAGAAAGACAGACCTAGAGCTAAAACATCATTCTCACTGTAATAGGAGAATGGCCTTGGATAAGTACATTGATCCATAAAAATTTAATGCATTTTCCTGCCTGAATCTGGATTCAACACTGTACATTTAGCATTTGTTTGTCATCATGCTTCTATATTATCAGAAGATAAGTTTTCTAAAGCTCACAAACTGTTTAAATTTCCATTTTATACACAAGTGACAAATTGAGTCAAGTAGCCAGAACTAAGTTACCATGGTGACTGCGGTAGAAAATAAAGTTTGAATAATTGATAGAATGAAATGTAATTATTGAAAGATTTCTCTAGTTAGGGAGAAGGAATGCCTTTATGAAAAAAAACTCATAGAGTAGGACTTAAGAATTTGCAGAATTTTTACCTGTAAAAGGTAAGATCCATGTGAAAAGTAATTTTCACAAATTTTCAGGCCACAAAATTAAGCTAATGGTGCATTTCAGAAACTTTGGGAAAATCTATTCTGCACATGTACAAATTGGAAACTGTCCAGAAGATTCCAGGTGTTTTTGACTTACAAATGTATTTCTTGTTAGCTTTGATCACACCTGATTGTGATTATATCCATAGTTACTTATATGATGCCAGGAAGTTAGGTGTATTATATAACCAAAGACCAAAAAGATGGATTTAATTTCATAATGATTTTCTTTATAGTTTAGGATATAGTTATTCTGTCGGGCTACAAACTGACATGCTGACAGTTTCTCGGTGAATAAAGTCCGTGTGATTAAGGGACAGGATATGAGCCGGTCACAGGTGCAGTGTCCTGGTAAAATGAGAACACACCCCCCCCCTTACCACAGCCACCCCACAACAGAGTGTGCTGAAACACTTGGGGGCAGCTCATGACGTTGATCTTCTAGCTGTAGGTCAAGGAGTAATAATAGCCAAATGGGCCAATGCTTAGTTTACTATTGAGCTGCAGTTTCACTTTTGCTGCCCAAAGCCTCTGGAGCAGCTGGGAGAGCAGGAGCAGGAGAAATGGGAGCAGAGAAGGTGTGTCTGCTTTCATCGTAAGTCTGTTCACACAGCTTCTAAACGGGGGCTTGGAATGTTAGCAACACGTTTCATATGATTCTACTCCCTGCATCGAGAAGAGTAATAAATGCAAGTTTGTAGAAGTAGCAGTCTGGAATTTTCTACTCAGCTACTTTTCTTAACCAATTTACATGTGCTCCACCAGCATGAAATCCCACTTGATATTTCTGAGTTAAACTAAAATCTCAACACAGAGCTGCTTACAATGCAGATGGCATCTGTGTGGTGTCTATATGGATGAGCAAATTAAATCCAATGTGACAGATCTGTTCATTTACGTTTCTCACAGACCAGAAGTGATTGCTGTTAGGGAATTGCTTTTGAGTCTTTCTGGCTGAAAAGCAGATCCATAAGCTGTCATGCTTGGGTTCAGCCTCCTGGCATCTTGCTGTTAGAATGAGAACCATTGAGCAAGGAGGTAACTCATGGCTTTGTTTGGAATCAAAGGCTTCTGTGAGTCTGAGCATTTACATAAAGTTTGCTACTCGTGTTGCTGTGGCTGTGTTCCCCATCCTTTCCTAAATATTTGTGCTTCTCAATTTCACACAACAGTGAGCCCCAGGCCATGTGTTACATTGAAACATCCAACTTAGATGGTGAGACAAACCTGAAAATCAGACAGGTAAGGTCGCATGCAAGTCTGTCATATTGATTGCAGTTTTACTGCATGGAATGAAAGCTTATTTCTCAGTGTTATTATCTGGGGTGGAATTAATTCTATCCAATTGCAAATATTTTCTCACTGAACCTCTCTGGCTATAAGAGGTTTTTCTGGACTGATGTAATTAAATATTGTACAATGGTTAGACTTAGTTGGAGGATGATAAAGTCCTTTATATAGATACTACGCATAATGAAATATGCATTTTCTGGAAGTTGGGTTCTATTTGCCTGGGATAGCAAAGGAAGAAGTGTCAGGCAGAGGATGAGGAAATGGAAGCGGAGATTGATTGCCTCCATGGACAACTGCTTGCTTTACCATGAGACGAGGGGAACTGGTTGGGCCTGGCTCCCGTTAGTGGACATTTTTATCAGACTCTAGAGCAGTAGTTCTCAACTTTCCTCCTGCCATGACCCTTTCATACAGTTCCTCATGTTGTGGTGACCCCACAACCATAACATTATTTTTGTTGCTACTTCACTACTGTTGTTTTGCTACTGTGATAAATTGGGCGACCCCTGTGAAAAGGTCGTTGGACCCCCAAAGGGGTCACGACCCACAGGTTGAGAACTGCTGGTCTAGACAATTCCTGATCCAAGTAGGTGGAGTGTAAAGCCCAATTTTAAATACATATGTAATTCAGATTTCTTGGAGTCAGGGAGACTATATGAACCTCTGAATTTTCTCTCTGAGATCATTTTTAAACCTTAAACCAAACATGTACCAGTCATCTTCCTAAAGCCAGCTCAGTTTAGCTTAACGAGTAAAGGATGTCAGCCCTGAGCATTGTGCTCCTTTAAGATCGATCTATGCATATAGGATCAAAAGTAACTGGTAAGACTTAGGAACCTTGGAGGCCAGTGGGTTTATGTTAATGGTGGAGGAACCAGTCAGAGAAGGGGGAGAATAACTGCCCCGTTGGAAGAGTAAAATTAGTGCCGCGCTGACTTGTCCCTTGCTGCACTGGGGCATGTTCTGCTGCACAACTTCTCGACAAGAGAAGGTTGTTTTAAAGTAGCTCAGGTAGCAGTCATTGCCCTGCTGGTAAAATGCTCCTAGTCTTAAATGGTTGGTCATGGTGTTAGCCTTATTTGTTTCCTTGTTCACCTGCCCCCAATTATTATTTGGCTTTTCCAGATTGAAACGTTTCCGTTGCTGTTCTGAAACATGTTTCTGTCTCAGGACATGGTCTTTATTTCTCTGTTTACTTTTCATACCCCCTCCAGCCCCAAACAACTGTAATATTTATATCTTCTCACATTTAAAAATGGCCTTTACAGCCTGTGTTCCTTGAGTGCTAGGTGAGTGGTGGAAACAATGGGGCACCGTATTGGAGTTTTCCCCTAAGTGGACTTAAAAGAACAGAAACATTACTACCCTTCTTGAATGAACATTCTGTTTCTTTTTCAACCCCTGTTGGAAATTCAGCACTGTCTAAGTGCTAGATATGAATTTTATTTTTGGAAATGGCTCGTCCTTTGAGGCCTTAGTGTGAAATATCTTAGGAGACTAGTTTATAATATCTTAACTATATTCCGGAACTTTTACAAAAGCTGCTCTGTTCTTAGGCTTAAAAAATGCTATGTTCATGGGGAGAGGAAGGTAGTCCGTAAGGATTTCTTGACAGTGAGAGTAGTGTCTAAGTGGAGGCAGTTGCTCGCTAAATTGTGGGCTCGCTTAGAGCTGGCTTTTCTTTGTGTCCTTATGGCCTGCGAGAAGTAATACCCCAAATGTGTGTAATGTTCTTTTGTCTAACTTAAAAAAATGTTTTTAATAGGGCTTACCAGCAACATCAGATATAAAGGACATTGACAGTTTGATGAGACTTTCTGGCAGAATCGAGTGTGAGAGTCCAAACCGGCATCTCTACGACTTTGTTGGGAACATAAGGCTCGATGGACACAGGTAGGTAAAGTCGGTTTCATGCGACCGTGGAACCATGGTGTGACAGAATGGTGACGTGTCTTCCAAGCCCAGATACAGATTTTCTTGTGCCCCAAGTTGGATGACTCAAACCCCTCTGTTGTGAGCATTAATCTTCAACATGGAGTCTTTTTGTTAAAGTGCTACATGATGGGCATCACTGAAGACCTCCCCAGGGTCCCTGCCAGCCTGGAAGGTAGATGTTTCCAGGGATGTGCCCAGCCTTGTGGCAGACTGTTTAATGAAGAAATAACCAGTGGCTCTTTATATATATATATATATGCCAGAATATTTATGATGTAATATATATATGCCAGAATATTTATGATGTAATATATATATGCCAGAATATTTATGATGTAATAGCAGATTATAGGCTTACCATGCAATCTGGATCCTGGGTCCCTTTCTGTAATCCCTTAGGCATAAAGAATATCAGAAGTTTGTTTGCAAGGAGGTTCATGGAATTGAATCCTTCCTTCTTTTCTCTGAATAATTCCACATGTTCTCTTCCAGGCCCTATTAGCTGTGGTCCATTTGGGTGAGGGTTTGCTTCTTCCCCTTCTCGCTGCCTCTCCTCTTTCCCCATTCATTCAGCCCATACTAGACTTGCCCGTGTGCAGCAACCAACAAAGCAGGAACATATTTCTTCTGCGCTTTCTTTCTTGTAGTGAGGGACAGATAAACAGATGAACAATAAAATGTGGCTGATAAGCAACTTCTGTAGTGTGCTAGGAAATGATAGCTCCTTGGGAGGGGGGCAAGGTGGCGGCAGTGGTAGCACAGGCAGGGGAGATAAGGAGTCCTAGGGAGGGCATGACATTTAGGTTTGTGTCATTTGGAAGGTAATATTTGAGCAAAGATGAGTAGGATTTGGGGAAGTTGACCACCTGACTGTCTGAAGGGAGAGGAGAGGACTCAGACAGAAGGAATAAAAATTACAAATCAGTTGTTATATCATTACTCGATCTTGGAAAGGTGGAAAGCTGCTAGGAGTGTTTGCAGAATGGGTTGGAGGCGCTTGTGGTTGGAGTAAGAGTGACCAGGGAAAAGAGATAGAAGAGGGACGAGAAAGTTGCTGGGCTCACGTAAGACTTGGAGACCTTTACACGTGTTTCACTCTTAGTGAAATGGGGATTTATTGGAGGACATTGAACAGAGGCAGACCAGCTTTTCAGCTGATTCCAACTCAGACAGCCCCATGGGACAGAGTAGAGTTCTCCCACTGGGTTTTATTGACTGTAGTCTTGGCAGCTGGGATTGGACTACTAGCCTTTTGGTCAGAAGCTGAGTACCTAACAGTTGGACCACCTCAGCTCTTTTAAGGAAGTTGATTATGTCCAAACAGAAAAGTTGAATATGTAACTACGGAGTTTGGGAGGGCGATCTGAGGAAAGTTTGTGAGTTGTTGGCATAGATATGTAAAGCTGTGAGACAAAATGATCACACAAAACGAAGACTACAGGTAGAAAAGTGAAGAGCCCCCAGGACTGGGTGGAGACACTTCCAACATTAAGAGGATAGGGACAAGGAGGGGGAACCAGCAAAAGAAGACAAGATGCCAACTTAGGAAGAGACAAACCTGGAGAGTGAAGAGCACATGCCCCCTGTGGAGGGCATGGCCCACGTGGCTGAGATGTTGCCCGGCTGAGGGTCTGAGAGCTAACGGCTTCATTCCGAGAATGGAGGCCTTGGGGCATAATCAGAAGAGTTTCATTCCTGATAGGAGTCAGTTTGAGATGGACAAAGAGCTGTTGAAATTAGCAAGCCGCCTCTGCAAAGAGTTGAGCTATAAGAGTGCATCAACAGGGAGGGGAGCTTTCCTGCTTCCCTCCTGTCTGCAGTTCTCGCTTCCTGCCTCTCTCCATCTACCCAGCTTCTTTAGTGGCCAAACCAAATGTGAGCTAAATGCTCATCCACCTGAGAAAATGTTATCAGGGCTTTCACTATTTTATCATTGCATTATTGTTATTTGAACCCTAAAGGACAGTTGGCATGTGCCCTTAAACCCTTATCCTCATTCATATCCACCAAAAGCTTTCTTGTGATTTCTGTGGTAATTATATGTTCTAAAATTGCCTCGGCGTGAGTGTGTGTGTGTGTGTGTGTGTGTGTGTAACATATGGTTATAGACTAATCAGAGATTTGACCAATTACAAAAGTAACACTTTTGTATTCTGACATTCTGCATTGGCCGGTTTGCCTGTTTTATCAGTTCCCCCATCAAACTGATGCCAAGCAAATCCTGGATCTGATGGTGCCAAATTTAAGAGCAAACTTTACAGATTCAGTTGCATTTTATGTGAAAGGGAGAAACTTGCTCAGTGCTGATATACTCCAAAAGATTAGTGGGAAGATGAAATTAAAAGATAGCAGATTTCACCCCAACACACTTTTGAAGCCCCCTTGTATTGGCAGCACAGATGACTTTTACAATGATACCCGGAGCTCTTTGGAGGCCCCTGTGTTTGGATAGTGTATGCTGATTCCTTTCTGGAAGATGGAATCACTGTTCGTGCCAGATACTTTGGAATTACAGTTCTGATGAAAACTCATACTGAATTTTGTCTTGAAATTGGAAAGACGAAGGGTTTATTTATTTATTTATTTATTTATTTATTTATTTATTTATTTATTTTTAACGAATTTGCGCCTTATCCCATCCGTACATACCACAGATGCTGGTGTGATAGCTGTTCTGGTATATCCTCGTTAAATAGATAAGGAGAGTCCCTGGGTGTTATAAATAATTAGTGCACACAGCTGCTAACAAAAAGGTTGGATGTTTGAATCCACTCAGAGGCATCTTGGTAGGAAAAAAGATCAACAGCGTTGAGAACCCTGTGGAGCTAGTGCTGCTCTGCCCCACAGGCTCCTTCCTCCCGAGTCGGAATCTGTGCCCCAACCAGGCTTCCTTTGAATAGGTGAGGTGAGGAACACTTGGCACAGATGTGACCCCAGAAGCTGGTTCCACACCTTTCCAAGAACCTCTTGGAAATGTGATTTGAGTCTGAGACCCCACACAAGTCTGAATTGCACCCCAACTTGGAAGCATACACGAGAAAGGTTCTCTTCCATTAGAATCCTGAAGGCACACGATTGTGCCTGGGGTGACATGAGGGTGACCCTTACTTTGTTCCTTTTTTTCAACTGGAATGCAGCTTTAGTTTCCTGAAGACGGACTCATCTAAATGAATCTGGGTTGATTTCCTTTGAGTTCGTGGAACTCACATCGTTCCTGAAGCAAAGTGTGAGGTCCGGTCTACCAGTGGCCTTCCCACCCCGCTGGACCATGAACATGCACCAGGCATTAAGGGCTCAATCTCACTGTCTCGTAACTGGCAAGGAAGCTGTTCTCTTGGGCCTTTCTTGGCAGATGGTTTCTTTCTTTTTCCAGAAAAAATTTCCACCAGCATATTTTTCTTTATATTTGACTATTTTTTTCTACTTGTTAAAATGAGGGCATGATGGAAATCCTTGCACCATTCCATTGCCATGCACACTCTCCGTTTATCTGTGGCAATCCTGTACCCTTCTGACATCCTTGCTCATATCATCCAACAATGCACTTACTGATTGGTTGTCCTTGTCATTAGGGGGGTCCAGTCAGTTCCGACTCATAATGACTCAGGGAAACCACAGGATGGAACACTGCCCCATCCTGCACCATCTTCACAAACGTCACGATGTTGGATCCCCTTGTTGCATCCACTGTAGCAATTCATCCCATTGAGGGGCTTCCTCGGTCACCAACCTCTACTTAACCAAGCATGACACTCATCTCCGGGGACTGGTACCTCCTCAGAGCACAAAATGCAAGAGACTTCTCCTCTTCCTGCCTCCAAGCCAACCACCTGGCTGTATTTCTTCCAAGACTGATTTATTTATTTATTCTTCTGACAGCCCCATGGTATAGTTAATAGTTGTCTTTGCCAACACCATACTCCGAAGACTTCAAATTCTTTTCAAGAATTCCTTATTCATTGATCAACTTTCACATGCATATAAGGTGACTGAACATACCAGGGTTTGGAATAACCTTCACAGTGCCATCTTTGCTTCTTAACACTCTAAGGCAGTGGTTCTCAACCTGTGGGTTTCCACCCCTTTGGGGGCTGAATGACCCTTTCACATGGGTTGCCCGATTCATAAGAGAAGCAAAATGACAATTATGAAGTAGCAATGAAAATAATTTTATGATTTGGGGGTCACGACAACATGAGGAACTGTATTAAAGGGTGGCGGGAGGTTGAGAACCACTGCTCTAAGGCATTTTGCACAGGCTCACCGAATGTAATATGCCATAGGATCCCTTGACTGCTGCTTCCAGGGGTATTCCATTCTACCTGGATCTACAAGCAATGCACAGTCAAACACAGTGGATATAGCCTGGCCATAAACAAAAACAACACAAGAATCCAATTTGAGCCTTATTTATGAAAAATGTGGTTTAAAGTCTATAGAATGGAAAGCTTCAACTTTGTAGTCAAAAACACTTCAAAGGACTTTTTAATATTTAAGACTTGTCAAGTGGCTGCCATTCATTAAAAATGTTATTTTCAATGAATACTTGGAGAATCAAGATTCAAAGAGCATAAAATTAATATCCCGGACATTTGAAATACAGGAGTCATCCCTGGGGAGCAAGGATGGCAATGCAGTTTCACGGCAGGTCTGTGTAGGCATCATCCCTTGCATATTATTTTGGCACCTGTATTCTCCAAGCTATTTTTAATTTTAAAGAAAGTATGTGAGTGGGCAGAGAACATATTTCCCAGCTCCACCACATCCAAACATCAAAGAAACCTAAATGAATTTACTAGTTCAGGAAAAGTCCTAAATAGAGTTAACAATTACTCTCTGTGAATCCCAAAACATCTCCTCCTCTTTAAGAGTAGTATCACAGGAGATGGTGATTTGCTGTTAGGAAAAGCAGCAAAGTAAATGCTGCCCTCCAGCCATGCTACCTGTGTAAGAAAATCATTCTTATGGGGGCGGGAGGGGGCGGGCAGATTCTTTTTCAAAAGTGGAGTAAATGGCCGAAGTTATTTCAATAACAGCACCTTTTAAGGGGCCTTGACAGTGTAGAAGTCAAAGTGCTCATTTGTGAACTGCAGAATCGGGTTCAAACGCACCAGCCACCACTGGGAGAAAAACATTGTGACGTTTGCTTTTGTAAAGACTTGCAGCCTGAGAAGCCAGATGCGGCCGGCCGTTCTACTCCGTCCTGTAGGGTCTGGGTTTGGCATGGGTTTGGTTTTGGTTTTCCGTAGTGGCTGTAGAATTTGCACACTTTTAGAAAATGTTTCTAATGTCAACATCCTCTGTTCTAGCACCGTCCCCCTGGGAGCTGATCAGATTCTTCTGCGAGGAGCTCAGCTGAGAAATACACAGTGGGTTCATGGGATAGTCGTCTACACGGGACATGACACCAAACTGATGCAGGTGGGGTTTTTACCAAGGACACTTGCCTCTTTGACTCTGTATAACCAGGACTACCTCAGTTACCTCCATACCAGTGAAACAATCGCTACATGCAACTCAAAAATCGAAAACCAGAGACACTTTTAATAGTAGTATCATTGTATGCTAGCATCTCCAGGCCTCTGGTATGGGGCACATGCGCCCATTAGTGTGCCTCTACGCCAAGTTGTGTTAAGGGTTGAACACAGGTTGGTGGTTCAAAACCATCAGCCAGTCTATAGGGAAAAAAATTGAGGGTCTTTGCTCCTGTACAGATTTATAGCCTCAGAAACTCTATAGAGTGTTGCTGGGGTTTGGGTTTTCATCAGCTGGGAAGCTAGATGCTTCTAGTCTATTCTGCACCAATGGCCAAGTAATGCAGTGTTTATCATACATGGCACAATTACTCTATTATAGCTACCAACAGAATGCTATTTCCTTCTTCTTTCTTACTGTTGTACTTGCGGCAAATGCTGGAATGGTACAGTGTTCTTGAAAAATAAAAAGATGGCTAACCACTGACACAGGAGCTATGGTTGTTAGCCAAGAGGCTGGCAGTTCAAACCCTCCACTCACGGTGCAGGAGAAAAAAGGTGGCTGTCTGCCTCTGTAAAGATTGTAGCCTTGGAAACCCTTCGAGGTGGGCGGCTCTGCTGTGTCCTATTGGGTCAGTATGAATTGGAAGGGATTCTGCAGCAATAAGTTTAAATGTCGACAGCTTATTCTATCTGTGATGGTTTTCTGCTCATTTTCATGTGGTGATGCTTTGGGCTGCTAACTGCCAGGCCTGTGGTTCAAAACCACCAGTTGCTCTTTGAGAGAAAGAGGAGGTTCCAGCCTCAGAAACCTTTGGGGACAGATCTTCTCTGCCCTATAGGGTCACCGTGTTTTCATGTACTAAATGACAGTGAATTTAACTTTTTTTTTTTAGTTTATCCATAGTTAGATGTTCTGACTTACTTTTGCATCCTCCTGAAAAAGAAATATATTTTACCAAATCATTTGTACACAGTTCTTAATTGCTCATATTATTTCTTTCCACAGAATTCAACAAGTCCACCACTTAAGCTCTCAAATGTGGAACGGATTACAAACGTGCAAATATTGATTTTATTTTGTATCTTAATTGCCATGTCTCTTATCTGTTCTGTGGGCTCAGCCATTTGGAATCGAAGGCATTCTGGAAAGGACTGGTATCTCAGTCTAAACTGTAAGCATTAAATTCCCCACTATTCTTATGTTTTTAGCCATGAAAGCATGTATTTGTTTCAACTTGATCTATTTCATGGGATTTCCTCTATTTCTAAAAGGAATACTTTGTTGCAAAGATTTGGGGGCATCCTATCTTTATTTCTCAGTGAGATCTCAGCAAATGTTAAAAATCAGCACAAGAATCCCTAAAATGTCTGAATCCTTAAAACATAAGGAGTACGCCAAGGTTTCGTGTAAAATGTTCGGTGTGTCCACCCATTAACACAAAACTGTTCTTGAAAAACGTTTTTATCCAAGGTATTAGAGAGCTACCTGGTCAGGAAAGTAGATTGTGTGTGGAGGATATAATAAATATATTTATTTTATAAAGCACCAAAAAATTCGTGTACATGTTTTCAAGACTGAATGTGCTTTCATTTGCACTCGGGAGCACAGTGAGCCATGTACTGATGGTCATCTTGGAACATGCATCTTTTTTACTGTTTGGCTATCAATTACCACTCTAGAGATTTCTAGGAAGTCATTTTGCATTTCCATTTGATGAGCTTTTTGCCTATAGATTCTTAAATGTTCAAAAGTGTAGAAACAAATTCCAGTAAAAATCTGTAGCAAAGTCTCCACGTTGTTTATAAAGCCATCTGTGTACCGTGTCAGCAGTGGAACTGTCACTCTTTTCAATTCATGTCTCCAGACCCTTGAAAGTGCACCTTGGGCAGGAGGAGGCGTGTAGTTTAAGCGGGACTGCCTGTGGCCTCGTGGTTGCATGGGGGCTGCTAGCAGTGACGTCAGCCGTTGGAGGCACCGGCCATTGCGCTGGAGGAAGAAGGCCCTTTCTCTTCCCATACAGAGCTACCATCCGGGAAACCCACGGGCCAGTTCTAGCTGCCCTGCAGGGTTTCTGAGAGCCAGAATTGCCTCGATGGCAGTGGGTCTGTTTAATACTTGTTTCTGCTGCTGGTTTATTTGTTTGCTTTTAAAATAAAGCCTCTTACAGGGGAAATTCTCAGTCATTTGATGAAGGTGATCCTACTTACTTGAGGCATTACATCTCAAAATCTGCCATTCTGCCCCTGGTTTCTGTTTGGAACAGGATTTGAAATACTTCATAATGCTTTCACTTTCAGGACCATGATGCCATGCCTAATAGGATTAACAAGAATACACATTCTGTTATTCCACCATGAAACACGCACTTGAGAATAAAGATAGTTGTCATCCTTTTCACTCCGGAATTACCTCTAGATGTGTATGTCCTATAGGAGAGGGCTTCAAAAAGTTTATGGGAAAATTCCATTATCTTTTATTGCCACTGTCCACACGCCTTTTGAAACCTCCTCATGCAATAAAGAAAGTACTTTGTGTGCTGAGTTTGTGGCCCATGGAAATACAATATCTAGGTGTAAATGACCTTTTCCACACCTCCTCCAACAGATGGTGGCGCTAATAATTTTGGATTGAATTTCTTGACCTTCATCATCCTTTTCAACAATCTCATTCCTATCAGCCTGTTGGTTACATTGGAAGTGGTGAAATTTACCCAGGCATACTTCATAAATTGGGTAACTATGAATCATTACTCTCTTTGTCACCCAAGCATACGTATTGTCTTCTGATCTCTCAGAAAACTTACCTTAATTACCTTTTATTTGGCTACAAGGATCCCTAGTGGTGCACTGGTTAAAAGCTAGACTGCTAACTGAAAGGTCAGTAGTTCAAATCTGCCAGCTGCTTCACAGGAGGAAATCAAGGCAATCCCTTAAAAGGATTATAGCCTTGGAAATCTTATGGGGCACTTCCGCTCTGTCCCACGGGGTTTTTATAAGTCAGAATCCACTCAGTGGCAGCTGGTTTATTGATTTTCTGGGATGGATCTTAAAATGTTTTTGATCCTCATACATTTATAATGGTAACAACCCTACCCCCATCCCTACACACATTTGACGAATCATAGATTTACAAACCAGACATCCTGGGAAAAGTAGGTCTCCAGTTGCGGAAACTTAAAAATATGTAGATTAGAATTCTGTTGCTAGGACTGACTTGCCGGCTAACGTTTGTTGAGTCATTTCACTTCTTTGAGGTTCATTTTCTTGCGTTCTGGCATGGGTATGGGAAGACATGCACTTCCTGTGCAGTCTCGGGGTGGCCTAGAGCAGAGGACTCGTGGCACAATGAAGAACTTCATGAGCAATTGGGTTCTACACAAATAAAGCTCTGTGGACCACTTGAAGCAACCAGGCTAGATGTAATTGTTATATGAGGGGCTTCAGAAAGTTTGTGGGAAACAATTCCATTGTTTCACAAACTGTTAAAATTTCCTTAGACATCTATATCGTTCACTTTTTCATGCTATACATAATTTCCACTGCGTTTTTTCCTTAACATTTTTGTTTTAATCCTGGAAAACCTATGTGCGTATCTACTTTCCTGAGTATTTTGTTTGCCAAATACAAGTATGTTGCCCTTCTACAGTTTTACTTTAACTAAAGTAAAAATCAATAGATTTATGTAAATTAAATAAATCTTCAAGTTTTATATGCCCAAAATTTTAATGTTCCTATAATGTAGAGAAAGCTTTGTATTGTATTACTTTTTGTTGTTTCTTTTTAACAATGACATTAGGATAAAAAAGACAAGACAAACAGCTGCTGTACAATGTGCAGCTCCCCATTTTCTTGAGTAAACTATTGACCATCATTGTCGTTTTTTTTAATTCCCTGGTACAGGTCACTAGAACTTAGAAGTGTAATGTTAACCTACTTTATGTTGAAGATATGGTACTGAAAAGTGTGTAAGATGATGTGTATGAATTTATTTGAATGATTCCTATTTATAGAAATAATAGTTGCATCATAATACTATGCAGCTCTAGTAACTAGTCTGATGATTAACTTTGGCTTATATTTTCAAAAATAATATTGTTTGTAAAGACGACTTGAGTGCGGAATCAGACCAGTAGCCTTCTTCCTTACAACTGCCTATCTAATAAGCACAGGAACTCTGGTGGCAGTAGGCTACACATTGAGCTGCTAATCACAGGGTCAAGAGGGAGAAAGATGAGACTCTCTGATTCTGTAAAGATAAAAAGTCTCAGAAATCCAGAGGCAGGTCTACTCTGTTCTGTAGGGTTGCTATTAGTCGGATTTCACTCAGCGGTGGGGAGTCTGTCTAACGAACATAGATTTTATAAGGCTTCAGATAAATGCAAGACTGATTTCCCAGTCTTCATTTAAAGGCAGCTTCTTCCTGTAGGGAAATGAGATTAGTAACAGCCTTCCTTTTATTCTGGCTCTGCCTGATGAGCCCTCTATGAAAATGTCTAATCTTGTTTCCAAAGGACTGCTGTGCTGCATTCAAATGACTGCATTTGAAATCCACTGTCATGCCTGTTAGAATAGTCCCTTTCCAATTAAGCTTCCTCTCTCATTTTCATTTCTCGTGATGCCCATCATAATCCTTATTTTAACCACTCTTCTGATCATGGCCACATTAGTTACTGTCCCTCTTAATACTGCATGTCATTTAAAACTGAACCGTCTACCCCAGAAGAAATAGTGATCAGTCTAGAATCAGAGGTGAGAGATCAGATATATATGTTACTCACCAGCTAAACAGGATATGTTTCCAAAATTTCATCCAAACCCTTATCTAAATGTAATGTTTGTTTTTCTTTGCCTTGAAGGATGTTGACATGTATTATGAACCCACCGACACAGCTGCCATGGCTCGGACTTCTAATCTGAATGAGGAACTTGGCCAGGTAAACTTCGTGTCTTGTAGCTATGTAGAAGTGGAAGTTAGTGTCGGCCAGTGTAATTTCTGCCTTACACGCAACTTGAGATGAATTGACAGCCTCTAAATGATCACTACTTGAGAGATAGGCATAAATGCATTCCCTAGTGAATGAATAGCTACACATTTACTAAATAAAGTTTTAAAAACTCTGCTTAAAGCAGGCTGTGCTCTCAGGATTAAAGATTAGCGCAAATACAGTCCCTGATCATATGCTCTAATGATGATGCAGCGTGTCTTGTTGTTTGTGAACTAAATAGTAGAGATAGTCTCTGGCTTTCAGTGTATTTGAGTTACTGCAAACTCCATTTACAACTGTCCATTTTTTGGTGAGGTTTTTTGATACATGTTATTAGTAATATGATTATGTATTGCATCATGTAATTTGCTGATGTGATCATTCTCAGGTGTTCACTCATAGGTGTAAAATTCTGTGATTCACAGTTGACAACAGCAGTATGGCAAACTGGTCTGTTTGGCAGTGAAGTTGTGCAGGTGTTGAGTCATCATGGATAGAGAGTTGGACAGTGTTCACCTCTAATGAACCATCTCCAAGCATTTTTATCAGAATAATAAGGAAGGGATTGGTGGGAAAATCATCCATATGCCAAGAATACTGAACTTAGAACTTGTGATTGCTGATACTGAGCAGCTTATAGATCATGAAGGAGAATTAGCAGATGAAGACCTAATGATTTTGAAGTAGAAAGAAAGAATAATGAAGAAGCAAATAGAGAGAAGCTGTTAAAAATGTTTACAGTGAAAGGATCAGCTAAAATTCTTTCTAAATTATATCAAGGCTTTGATTGCTTAAAAATACATGCCCAGATGCTGCTGCTGTTGTTCTTAGGTACCAACGAGTGAATTCTGACCTTGTATACAATAGGGACCTTATATACAACAGAGCGAACCACCGCCCAGCCCCGAGCCAGCCTCACGATTGTTCTTATGTGGGAGCCCATTGTTGCGGCCCCTGTGTCCATCCCTCTTATCAAAGCTCTTCCTCTTTCTCACTGCCCCTCTGCTTTACCAACCACGATGTCCTTCCCCAGGGACATGTCCAAAGTAGGTGAGATGAAATATCTCCATCCTTGCTTCTAAGGAGCATTTCTGGAGGTACTTTTCCAAGACAGATGGATCCTTCACCAGCACCACAATTCAAATGCATCGATGCTTCTTCAGGCTTCTTTTCAAATAAATCTGAGGTGATTGAAAATACCATGGCTTTGGTCCGACATACCTTAGTCCGCAAAGTAACATGCTTGCTTTGCAACACTTTGACAGGTCTATCTGTTTATGCATAATGTTTTCAACATCCAAAGACAAAGATTTGATTTACGAAGAGAGTGATAGTAAAAGGCAAGCAGTAATGAAAATGGAAAGCCAAATGAGGTAGACGGCTTTCATGTGAACGACCCTATGTTGAAGTCATCACAGTGGAGCCTTGTGATGCATCAAGGACAACCTGTCTCTGCATTTCTCACTGAGCTAAGTCTGAAAGGAAGGAAAGGTTTCTCGGGGAAAGGGCGAGTGTCTAAGTATATTTAGTAATAGGAACTTTAGATGCATAGTATATGCTCGACTGGTATATGTGGGTATATTTATAACCCATTTATAGGTGCCAACTGAGGGGAAAAATATGTTTGAGGATAGGGGAGACACTATTGTTATTGGCCAACTCTTTTGCTTTATTTAGCCAAAATTATAATTTCAAAAATCTTGGTGTTGATAAAGCTAATTGCATAAGCTATCTTCAGCTTTACAATTGATCGTTAAGACATATGGACTGATATTTCTCATTCTCTGTCTATATTAAGTAGCAGCACTGGCACTTTCTCATATAAACGATGACAACTTTATGGAGGCAGGTTTCTGTACATCTGTAGTTGTATCTAAACGGTGACTATATATACATGTGGATATCACCCAATTGCACAGGAATCAAATCAACTACATCGGTGGAAAGAGACAATGGAGGAAGCTCAGTCTCATCAATCAGGAAAGGAGGCAACTTGTGCAAATTCAAGGTGAGCTGAAGAACATTAAAACAAGTCCAGGAGATCCAACATATGACCTTGAGAATATCCCACCTGATTTTAGAGACCATCTCGACAATAGACACATCGCACAATAAAGACAAATTCTAAGATGTCATCAAAGACATCATACATGATCAAAGCAAAACGTTATTTAAAAACATTAAAGAAAGAAGAAAACAAAATGGACGTCAAAAGAGACTGGAAATTGCTCTTGAGCACAGAAAGAAATGAAGTATGAGAGCCAAACAGAAGCTTTCAAAGAACAACTCAAGGTGACAAAGTATTATAAGAATGTGTGCAAACCCTGGGAGTTAGAGAACCTGAAGGGAAGAAGGAAAGAACACACTTGAATTTCTCAAGCTGGAAAAATTGGGGGTGGGGGCGGGGAGTATTTAACCCCCAAGTTGCCATACTGAAGGTGTCTATGGTAAAATATTGAACAAGGCGTGAAGCATCAAAAGAAGATGGAAGAAATTCAGGAGAATCACTGTACCCCAAAGAATTGGTCAACATTCAGCCAAAATTTTGGAAGTTAGCATATTATCAAGAACCAATGGAGTTGAAGGAAAATACTCCAAGCTGCCCAGAAGGCATTAGTGAAAAGCAAAGCTCCGAGAATTGATGGAACCCTAATGGAAATGTTTCAACAAGGAAATAAAGCACTGGAAACACTCACTAGCTGAAACCAAGAAATTTGGAAGACAGCTATCTAGCCAATCACCTGGAAGAGATTCATATTAGGTCCATTCCAAAGGAAGCCAGCTGATCCAACAGAACGTGGAAATTATCGAACAGTATCATGAATGTCATATGCAACAGAGTTTTGCTGAAGATAACTAGAAAATGATTGCAGCGCAAACATGGACGGGGAACTGCCAGGAATTCAAGCTGGCTTCATAAGAGGACGTGCATCGAGGGATGTCCTTGCTGGTATCAGCTGGCTCTGGAAAGCATAGGATGCGAGAAATATATTTACCTGTGTTTCATTAACTATGCAATGGCATTCAGTCTTGTGGATCATAATAAATAATGGATACATTTTATAAGAGTAGGAATTCCAAAAGTCTTCATTGTGTCCGTGTGGAACCGATACATAGACCAAGAGGCAGTGGTTGGACCTGAACAAGGGGATACTGTTTTGCTTAACAGCAAGAAAGCGGCATGTCAGGGTAGTATCATTCCACTGGTTATTGAGGATATATGTTGAGCTGCTAATCTAGGAAGTTACACTATGAAAAATAATGCCATGTCAGGATTGGAAGAAGACTGATTGACAAGCTGTGACACAACCTTGCTTGCTGAAACAGAAGAGAACTTGAAGCACTTATTGATGAAGATTGAAGACTACAGCCTTCAATGTGTAATATAGCTCAACAGAAAGATAACACAGACCCTCATGACTTGGACCAATAGACAACATCATGATCAGCAGAAAAGATTGAAGTTGCCAAAGATTTCATTGTATTTGGATCCACAATGACTGCTCCAGAAGCAGTCATCGAGAAATCACTGGGCACATCTACTACAGTAGACCCCCCGAAGGTATTAAAAAGCAAAGATGTCACTTTGAGCCCTAAAACGCACCTGACCGAAGCCCTGATTTTTCCATTTGCTTCATATGCATGTTTAAGCTGGACATGGACCAAGTGCAGGCAAAATGCTCTTTGGAAGGGAGGCTGGCAAGACTTCATCTCTTGTAGCTTGGACATCTTTATCAGGAGTGACCCATCCCTGAACAAGAACTTCACGCTTATTGGTGAAAGAGAGGGTTGGATAAGAAGAGGAAACTTCTCAATGAAATGGATTGACACTGCCACCATGGCTCCAAACGTGGCAAAAGTGGTGACGGCGGCGTGGGACACGGCAAAGTTTCATGCTGTTGTACACGAGTCACTATGAATCGCAACCAACTGATGACACCTCACGGCGACGACAACAAGAACGTAGGTTTTCTGATATCTTGAAAGTCTTCTTTCTTTATAGGTGAACTATTGCATTGCTAAAATACTCAAAACAAAACAAAATAAATAGTTCGACACCTCCCTTGAGGAATGCAGGAATCAATCATTTAATAGTTGGTATCCCTTGTGTAATTTTATAATTGTAAAATGATACATATATAATTAAAATTTTCTTTTCTTCTATAAAAAACAAGCCAGGCATACAAAGGCAGGCATGTGAAATTTTAATGAGACATTTTCAATTTTTCAGGTTAAATACATCTTTTCTGACAAAACTGGTACGCTGACCTGCAATGTCATGCAGTTTAAGAAGTGCACCATAGCAGGTGTTGCCTATGGGTAAGCTCTTTTCCACTAATTAGAATATTAAATATGCGTTTGATTAATACTACCAGCTTGGTACATTTGGAAATGTACTTATTAAGAGGGATTGATTTTAATTGAAAAAGCAGTTGTTTTTACTCCACATCCATGTACATTTTGTGTTTCAAAATTTAGCTTTGTTATCAAGTCACCTATTAGGTGGGGCTCTGCCTAGTAGTTTTTTTAGGGTGTGCTGCTCCAGGTCTCTCTCTTGCCGGGGTGGTCGGTTTCAAGCACAGGTATATTGCCATAAGTCTCCGTACAGCTTGCATGGGTTCAGAACAATGCACACAGTCTGAGAAGTTTTCAGGATAAAGTATTCAGTTTTCCATTGTTGTTGTTTTAATCCTCTCTCTTCTTTGCAATTACCCACTGATAGCCACTGCAATTCACCCAATTCTAGCTCAGAGTAACCCTACAAAACAGAATGGCACTGGCACCATGCAGTTCCAAGGAATCCTAGAGGTAGAGATTATGGTCGGCCTGCTAATCACAAGGTCACCAGTTTGAGCCGCCAGATACTCCTCAGGAGAAAGACAGGGCTTTCTACTCCCGTAAAGAGTTACACTCTCGGAAACCCATAGGCGCACTCTGTCCTATAGGGTCTCTATGAATCAGAATTGAATCGATGGCAGTGAGTTTGGTTTTGGTTTTTTAATTAGAATCTTGATGGAAGCAGACTCCCAGCCACGTCTTCCTCCCACAGAGTGGTTGCAGGACTGGAACCACCGGCCTTTCTATTAGCAACCTAGTGCTTTAACATTTGGCCCAAAGAGCTCCTTATATTGCAAACACAGAGCCATCTAAAATTCTGATGGCAGGGAGGAGATAGCAACATGAAACATAAATCCAAGTGATAATGAATATGTCAGCAACGTGTGTCGGGTTATTAATCCCCTTTACAATGTGATTGATGAGCACTCCACTCACCCTTTATTTCGGATTCTAAAGAAATTGGTGTTACAACACTTTCATTTTGCAATAAGATTATTAGGCAATGTGAGAGAATTAATTTCCAGTAAATGCCTGATCATGAGAGATGAAACACCTTATTGTGGATGGACATGGGCGTATTATCAAACTTCCCAACCACCCTTGTCTGCGAGTGAGACTGGTGAGCCTTGGTCTCTCAGCCCTAATTGCATGGGTACTGGTGTCTGGGTTTTCTGGCTTGCACCCATTCGTACCCACTCACCCTCTGTCTCCTAATAGAAAGCCAGGAGAAAAATAGGCCATGGAATATTGGAAATGACTTGGCTAACATAAAGAAGTAACCATTTGTTGGATTTTAACTATTTATTAAACATGACTCCAGGCCTGGGGCCTGCAAAGAGAAACAGACTGAGGCGAGTGCCCTTCCGGGTCGGAGAGAGTGTGACTTCTAAGTGTGTGTGTCAGTGAGGCTTCCAGGACAGTTAATGAAATGATCTACCCAACCCTGAGAGCAAGCTTTTGATTTTAAATGGAGACGCATTCCACTAGTTAGATTATGTTTTGCTTCCTTCTTCCTTCTCTGAAGCCCCGGCCATTCCCTACACAAAAGAGGCTCTCCCACTCCTTGCTCCAGTCTTCGTTGCTGCAGGCTGCACTGTTAGCAGAAGCTCCTCGCATGGCAGAGTTACAGTCACACTCGAGACATCTTGTGTCCTTCCCACAGGAGCGTGGTGGCACAGCGAATTAAGCATGGGGCTGCTTAATGCAATGACTAGAGAAACAAATTCATGGACACTCATATGTATAAGAAAGAGGTTTAGATACCTGAGCAATTGAACATTGAGAAAACATCCTAGCCCAGTCCAAATCAAGTCCATAAGTCTGATATTGGCCCATATGTCCGATACCAATCTATAAAGTCCTCCTCAGACTCACAAAGCACATGCAATGACACCACATGCAGGAAGATCACAGGCCAGTGAGTGAAGAGTCTTCTGGATCCAGTGGCATTGTAAGCAGCTCAGCACTGGCAGGGGTCTCCACATGGCTCTTCTAGCTTAGGGCAGTAGCATAGCTCCATGTGTCTTGTCAGCTGCAATGTCTCCCAGGGAGTGAGCCTGTGTCCTGCCTCCAGTGAGCTATTTATCTTCTTAGCACTTCCAAATGAGGTCATCAAGCTGGGACCTGATTGACAGGCTAAACTCCACCCCTTCACTCTTTTTTTTTCTTAATCATTGTATTGGGGGCTCGTACAGCTCTTATCAAAGTCCACATATACATCCATTGTGTCAAGCACATTTGTTGCCATCATTTTCAAAACATCTTCTTTCTACTTGAGCCCTTGGTATGAGCTCCTCGTTTTTCCACCCCTTCATTCTTCATCCTCTCAAATTGACAACAGATTATATATAACTACCAGCTGCAGGGTTGGTTGTTCAGACTTATAGAAGTCATAGAAAAGTTGAGTCTAGCTGCTTCTGGAAAGACTGACAGACATGGTGGCCCTGTGGGGCAGCCCTGCTCTTCTCTGTAGGGTAGCTTTGAGGTGGAATTGACTGGACACAGTGGGTTTGGCTTATTATGCCCACAGATTAACCAGAAGAAAGAAGGAAAAACCCACTGTGATGCTGTAGTATTTATGGCGACGTCTCTTTTTACAAGCATTCTGCATTCATTCGTGAATATTATTTCTGGAGTGATCGGTTTGATCATTGATATCCTAGGAACAATTGCAAATAGAACCTCCCCGATTGTGAAATGATCAGAACAGAAAGCTGTACTAAGAGGGAGTTTGCTCTCACCAAGCTCTGGAGCAGTCCAAACACTTGCAGCAGCAGCAACCATTACAGGGTCTGGAGACAGATCAATATCAGGGTAATATGTAGAGTAAGTTATTTTCACCATGACCTGGTGGCACAGCGGTTATGTGTTGGACTTGCTCATTACAAGGCTGACAGTTCAAAGCCACCAGCCATTCCCAGGGATAAAAATGGCTTTCTATTCCCATAAAGAGGGTGCAGGCTTGGAAACTCGCAGGGAAGTTCTACCCCATCCTATAGGTCCCTAGGCGTTGCATATGACTCGATGGAGGTGAGGTGTTGGTATCGCGTAGCTGAAGTTCCTGGTGAAACAGACTCCTTCTTGGGAAAGTAGCGTTGTGTCCGGTGCAGTCCAGTCTTTGAGTCATCAGACAGGAGTTTTAGTCCTGGCTGGGTCACAGATTTGCCATGTGACCTCGGAGAGTTCCTTCGCAGATATTTTTGAGTTTTTAAAATAAAATGAACATGGTGAGACCATATGACCTCTGGGGCCTTTTTACAGATAGGAAATTCTAGCTTGTCAAAAAAGAATGATGAAAAGTCAGCGTTCTGTTGTTGCCTCATTTTAACTCTAAATAGAATCTACTTAATCCTTTGCTCTAAACTGGTAAAATCCTCCTAATTTAGGATAATTATTACTATTTTTTAAAGTTAAAGTAATGCCAGGAGTCAAATGGAATGAAACTGGTTGTTAAACTACCTCCTGTTGTCAGTCATGCAGTGTGTGTGTGTGTGTTAAGCATCATTAACCTGTGTTGAATGCGTCATGGGGTAGTATGGTAGGGTAGTATGTAGAGTCAGTTATTTTCATCATGACCTGGTGGCACAGCGGTTATGTGTTGGACTTGCTCATTACAAGGCATTAGCGGTTATGTGTTGCTCATTACAAGGCACAGTGGTTATGTGTTGGACTTGCTCATTACAAGGGGGAACAGTGAGCTGTGAGCCAGATGCTCAATGATTTAAATCCACCAGCTGCCCCAGGGAGAAAAAGGAGGCTGTCTGCTCCCATAAAGACTTCTGGCTTCAGAAACCCTGAGAAGCAGTTTCCCCCTGCCCCATAGGGCTGCTATGAATCTGCATCCACTCCATGACAGTGGGTTTGGGTTTGGGATTCAAACCCAGGTTGAGTTTTTATTGGCATCTCCTCTGCCACGCTTCCTGTAGCCGGTGAGGACCGGGATGGCAGTGTGACAGAGCTGTCAACATAAAAGCGTGGAAGAAACAGGTGACTGTAGACTGCTCAGCTGTTTTCAGTCCGGGACACAGCACTTACGACCAGCCATTCTCCATGGGACCAAGTAATTACTGTCAGCCACCTTTCGGTGGGAATTTCCTCTGGGCACGCTTGGGTTCTAGGAACTTAGACAGGGAAATACCCGGGTTTTGCTAGCTTGTTGGCACTGTAGCAATGCATAACACTTGTTTAAGATGAGGCTCATTGAGGTGAGCATCCAGCCCCAGTCAAAGGCAGCTCGATGTTAGTCCTCCCGGAAATGGCCAATCAGACTCAGCAAAGCACAAACGTCTGTGTGCTAACCATTGCCTCAAGTTTACAAACTCATGGCTGCTGCTTAGTGGGACTTTTTAAGAAGGAAGTGAAAAGTCAAGCTGTTTTATTCTTGTTTGCGCCAAAGCGGGGTTCTGTTGGGTTTTCTCAGTTGGAAAGTCGCGACTTTGAAGTTCCTGGAGCTGTGACTTTTATCTAGTTCTGTATATCACATACGTTTGTAAGAAGACAGCATTTAACACTTAAAACACGGCTTCCTTAGGTTGGAGCTTGGGGCCTTTTAAGCTACATAACTACTCGAGAATGAGCTTCTCCCCAGATGTGAGGGTCAGACCCTCAGCTTCAACAACAGTGAGAACTGGCAGGAGCTCGGGTCAGTGTGTATAGATTGAGTAGCACCAGGCCCTCTCTGGTTCAATCAGGAGACTGGAGTTCAAGCTCTGGGGCTGATCTGGCTTGAGTGCTATGAGCCCTGGAGTTTTACAGTAGGCTAGCTCTCTCTCTCTCTGTTAGTCCAGCCCACCAGGGACATGATTTCCCCTTCTTTTCAAGCACACAATTAAGAAGCCCTTTAATAAAGACTAGTGGGTAAAAGACACCATCCCCAGTGCGGTTGGCGTGAAGGCAATGGATCCTGGCACGAGGGGAGTTTAATGTTGTGGAGATGCCCTGGGATAAAGGGGAGCTGGTGGTGCTGTGGCTGAGGCTGTAGGTTGCTCACTGCAAGGTTGTTGGTTCAAACCCTATAGCCACCACAGGAGAAAGCTGAGGATGTCCATTCCTATAAAGATATGCAGTTTTGGAATCCCTATATAGGGTTTCTAAGAGTTGAAATTGACTCCATGGCCATGGGTTTGGGGGTGTTTTGTGGGGAGACGGTTGGAATGAATAATAAGGTCCATGTTATGACCAGGTGAGTGAAAGTTTAAAGAGAATGAGTGGAATGGATATTTACAAAGTGAAAAGATACCAGGAGTTGACAACAGCTTTTAATGTATATTTTCCCAAGTGACAATGGCATTATACTTTTACAAACTTGGCAGTTTGGAAGCTCTGTCTGTGTCTAGTCAACTTAACCTAAAGAAATCATATCGGGTGAGCATGTATAATGAGAGATGGGAAATACGGCCATCGGCCGTCTGGGTGGTTGACGTGAAATGTACACCTTGATGAGGCTTCCCT